CGCTGTTCCCACCAGTATCTTTGTGAGTCAAAATTATTTGGGAGGGTTTGGGCAGAGACTTGGCCAGAATGGGATGCAGGGTGAATACGAAAGGGAATTGGGGTGCCAGCAGGCATCTTCTCCTGTCACTTGACTTGAGTTCATGGGGCCCCTTCTCCCACCTTATGGTGACTCATCCAATCTCTGCCTGAGTCCCTGTCTCAGCTCTAGCCTGTATCTACCACGGCGACAATGACCATCCCCTTCCCCTGCACGAGGGGGATAGGAGCAGCGGGTGCGGGGTTCCACCAGCCCAGGCCGTGGAGAGGGATCCATGACCTTCCTGCGCAGTTGCTCAGGTTGTTTGCTGTACAGGACGGTCGGTCGGCAGAGGGGACCAGTGCGGGCTGAAAACCAGCCCACCCCTATTCCGCAAACACAACTGTGTCCACCTGGACAAGAGAGGCCGTTCCCTAATTCACAAAGGCTCTGTCCTCGGGCCTAGCCACCCGTGTGGGGCAGCGTCCAACCACAGGGGCCGCTGTGCGGAGCAGCACAGCTGTGTTCCTGTCTCTGGCAGGCACACTCTGCCCTGCCCACTCCTCCCTCCCACCTGGTAGGCTCCGCCCACTGCCTGCTCATTGGCCCGGAGGGGAGGTGGTGGGCTCAGGCCTGGGTACTTTTTTTCTCTGCGCAAGAAGGGTCTGAAGGCTCACCTTCCACCTTTGCTCAGTTCCCCTCCAAGCTCTCTGGGCTCTGCTCTGACTCCCTCTCTGGTGAGTCGTGGCTCTCTCGTCCGCCCCCTGCTGACTCCCACCTGCCCTGTGGATGCCTGAAGGCCCTGCCTCTGCCCAGCCGACTCCTCTGGAAAATGGACACAGCCTGCTTATGCGAGGGGGCGCCAGCTCCTGAGCCTGAAATGGGGCCTCCTGCAAGACCACCCTGGAGATGGCTTCATCAGCCATCACTGATAAACACTTTCTGTGAGCCAGGTGCTGTTAAGCCCCCTTGTGATCTCATTTACCTTCGCAGTCATGCTACCCTTGTCACCTCCCTCTAACAGATGGGTAAACTGAGGCACAGAGAAGCAAAGTAACCTGGTAACAAAAGGCAAAACTGCTCTAGTTTTTGTAGATGGGGACTTTCTCCTTTCCTCACTGCCCCCCCCCCTTTTATAACAGAAAATGACAACAATATTATCACATCTCAAACATGAACATGCCTTCTGAGTAAGTGTCCTGGCCAATGTCACACAGCCAGCTAGCAGGCAGCAGAGGAAGGATTTGGACCCAGGCACCTGGTCCCAAGGTCTGTGTCTGTGGCTCTCACACCACCTGCTCTCTGTCCTGGTGGTGGTGGGACAGGCCCACAGCACACCTGTCCCATCTCAGATGCGAGAACCTTATCTGTAGCCAGGTCCCTGCCCCCTGGAGGCTGCAGAACAGCTCTGGAGGAGGGGGGACAGAGGACGGTGGGGGTTCTTACCTTGACACATGTTCTCACTCTCGTTTCGGAATGTTTTCCCCCCGGTAGGAAGCGTGTATCCTGGGCTGCATGTGCAGTAGTAACTCCCCTCCACGTTCCGGCAGTCGGCAAATTTTCCACAGGACACCCTCACAGGTGGTGAACACTCGTTGATGTCTGGACATAACAGGGCAAGAAGTCCCCTCCTGTAGACGTGAGTTTCCTCAGGGCAGAGACCTCACGCCAGCTGACTCCCCAGCCTGATGTTTAATTGATGTCTTTTGGAAAGAATAAGACTCAGGAGGCTGGGCTATGTCACCTAATTGGCTCTGCTCATCTGAGCCTTCTGGCTGGCACCCTAGACTTGGACACAGTGGGTAGTGGCCTAGGTGGGGGCTAGGTGGGAAGCTGTGTATCCCCCTCCCTCCTGGAAGGAGGCAAACTGCTTTTTTTTTTTTTTATCTTTAAAAGATAGGAACTTATTCTCTTCCCACCCTTTTTAACAGAAAATTACAGTAATATCATCACATCTTAAACATGAACATGCTTGTTTATTCACTTCTTATCTTTCCAACTCAATCTCTTTTCTGTTCTCTTTGCTCTCAGTGACAGTTCCTGAGGTCAAGGGCTGAGGTGCCCACCACCCACGTCCCCCTCTGGCGTGGGGGTGATGTCCCACAGTCTCTGGTGCACTCTTCACCCCCACCCCCAGCCTCTGTACCGTCACAGGCCTCTGCGGGGCTGGTGATGTCCCCAGATGGAGAACTGAATCCCGGGTCACAGCGACAGGCAGTGGCACTGATACATGTGGAGTTTTCGGGGCACCACCGGGCACAGTTGGCTGTGGGGACAGAGACCATGGTCAGAAGGTGAGGTCTGAACCAGGGGCTGGTGTTGGGGGGAAAGGTAGAGGAAGTATGTGGGGGAGGGGCCAGCCCTGATCCTCATCTTCCTGGGCTGAGGGAGAGGGGTGGGTTGGGGTTTGGGGCCTTCCCCAGGCTCAGGCTGTGGTCACAATGCTCCTTCAGACTCACCCCCAGGTACAACCCCCTCACCTTTCTGGGATCCAGCTCCTGACATGATCAGCAAGAGGCAGAGCACTGGAAAAGAGAGAGGGTGTTGGGGAGACACATTTGAGGGAAGGGTCTCCTGACTCCCCTGGGTGGGGCCCTTTCCTTGCACAGGAGAGAGTGTGTATCCCCTCCTTAGGCTCTGGGTGGGTGCATGAAGTGGATATGGAGAGGGAGCCCTGATTCTCTAGCCACGTGCTCCTCTGCCCTATGGACTGTGTGAACAGTGGTTCCAAACACAGACTGGGGCCAGACAACCCCGGTTCCAACACTGGACCTTGGGCAGATTACCTCACCACTCTGTGCTTCTGTGTCTCCTTCTGTGGAATGAGGATGATGATGTTTGTTATTATTATAAGGAGAGTTGACCAAGTGGTGAAGATGGGTCTCATCTTCAGATGTACCCATAATGCACTCATGAGATCTCCCATCACTGGACAGTGGTGACATTTTGCCTGGCCTCCTGGCACACAGGAAGATGCTGTAGCCTTCTGCTGAGCATTACCTCTCCTCCTAAGGAGGCCCCCACTCTTAGAATGTGTCATTGGGGAATCCTCCTCAGGTCAGCAGGCGTTTGGAGGGGGGAACCTCCCTGCCATTCACCAAGGAGACAGACGAGGAAATAGAGTACAGAGGAGGATTGGGCAATCTACTTCCATAGAGATACCACCTCGGAAACTCAAGGAGGGGTTGCTATGAGTTCAACGAACTTGACAGCATTGAGTTTTGTTATATAGGAAGTAGATGGAGAGAGGCAGAGTGTGTGTGAGAGAGAGACACAGAGAGATCAAGAAGGAGATAAACAGAGAGAGTCAGAGTTAAGACAGTAGAGAGAGAGAAAGAGAAAGGGAAGCAGGAATAGGGAACCCGCAGAAAGAGCCAGGCAGAACGGGGGAAGAAGGCACCATGAGACAGAGAGACAGAGAAATGGTGATTCAAAGAGGGATGGAGACAGACTGAAACAGTCACAAAGGGGGGGATGAAGTGGGGATGGAGGAGGGAAGGTAGAGTGGAGGATGTCACAGCAGCAGAGGAGAAGTGAGGAGGGTTTGAAGGAAGGTTTGGGGGTGACATCTTTTGTCTTCCAGTCACAACATCAGAACCTCCCAGTAGGCTTGTCTGCATCCTCATGGATTTGGATTGGGTAATGGATCGCACTCAGGGCCTTATCTTCCACTCTGTCTCTGTCTTGCACAATCCACACTCCACTCACTCTGGAACGTTTTTCATGCCTGTGAGTTTTCTCACATGTTCTGCCCCTAAGAATCATCACCTCAAAGCTGACCTCAAAAGCCATCTCTCCTCCACTGAGCAGCACTGAGAGCATTTGGAAATCATGATTGTTGCTCCTGCCATGACCACTGATGGTGACAGGGCTGCTTGTGTCAGGGCCTTGAAGTTTTCTCACTTAAACTATTGGGTTGAGTTTGCACTGGGGGGGTGGGGGGGTGGAGAGGCACTGGGTGGGAGGAGGTGGCAGTGTGCTTTCCTTGGTCATCAACATCTTCTGATGTCAGACTACCAGTGACCATCACATCCCCTGCCTGTGTCTGAATCTTGCTCTAACACTTACTTGTGTGTCTTTGGCAATTACTGAATTTTCTGTGTCTCAGTTTTTCATCTATAAAATGGGCAGAATAAGAGCACCTACCCTATTGCATTTCTGGGAAGGTGAATAAGTAAACATATGCTAGATGCTAAGTAGAATGTCTGATAATAAGTCTTATTCGATAACCTTAAGCTACCATCATTATCATCCCCATCAAGGGTGCGCTAATATGGGTCATTATCCATCTTCTTTTCATTGATCTATTTGGGATGAATTTGTAGCCAACTAGCATTTTCTATACCTTCCCTTTCTAGCTTGATATTCTGACCTTCTTGAAATATTTCTTTTACCCTCTACTGGCTGTGCTTCTATTTTCTATATCATGACACCCTGAGCAGGATAAAATGAGTCGAAATGTCCTTAGTGCATGAAAAAAGTCACTTACTATTTTGAGTGTATTATAT